TGGAACTGGATGAGCTTTAAGGTCCCTTCCAACCCAAACCAGTCTGTGATTCTATGATAATTTTAAAATAATTTAAAAGAAAATTTAAAAGCTCTTTGACGACTGTTTTCTTGGAGTATCTGCCATTTAAAAATATAAACACATCCTGAAGTGTCTCTGATATTTTTATGGGTGTTTGTAGCTGATGACTAAGAACCAGCACAGAGCTCAGCTGAGATCTTCACTTAGGGACGATCCATATGCAAATCCCTCATCACAATTAGCTTTGGGCAAGGACATCTACTCCCGCTCCCCCTCTGTGTTACAGGCAGGATGGTTTTGGTGTTTTGCTTCCTGCTGCTTTGTCCAATTTACTTTTATCATTTTTTAAAAAAAAAAAAGCTGGAACATCCCGCTATTATTTAAAATAAAAATAAAAGCAAATCAAATCCCTCTTTTCTGTTCAACTTTGCCCATGTATTATGCAGCATTTCTCCCCGTGTTTTTCCTCTGAAGTAACACAAGAGCTCCCAGGTACCCTGGTTGTACATGGAAGGAATAATAATAATAATAATTAACTAGCTCATCTGGGCGAGCTTGTCCTAATTTTGCCATTCTACCCGAAGGCAAAGGCCAAAAAAAAAAGAGAAAAGAAAATTAGATTGAAAAACTTGTGTTTCCATCACACGAGGCGAGATCTCATCAAGCTCAACTCCAGCTGCTTTTTCAATGAAAGGAGATAATCTATGCAGAGCATTTATAGGTTATAAAAATGGAAAAAAACCAACAAATTTCACAACTTTTCATTTTATTTCTTTGTGATGGGAGTTTTAACCTGACAGTTTCCAGGTTTTCGCTGTAACTAGGGATGCTAGGAACAGATTTGGAGGTTTTTTTTTCCTTGTTTGGGGTTATTAATTAGTTTTTAATTTCTATTTTGTGTTGATCCTTTTAGGGAAATGCTAAATATCACAAGATGGCAGCGAATCACGAAGCTACAATATTTCCTTCTGCGCAGAAACAGCCACGTTCTGGATTCACAGATTTATATTTTTTTTTAAGTTTGGGGGTTTTTTTTTAACTATTTATTTATTTATTTAAAATCCTAGAAGGAAACTCAGAGCATTAGTACCTTGAATACAGGGATCCCCTCAAAAGGGTTGATATCCAGGGAAGTTTTGTGCCCAGAGCACTGGAGGGATGGGACCTTAATTATTTTCATTTTCTCGATTAAAAAAAATTAAAAAATTAAAAAAAATTAGAAGTAAAACAAGACGGGGAAAAAAAACCTCCTTTTCCTTTCCTAAAATAAAGGAGCATTGTTTGATCGCTGCGGCTACATCTGTATCCATCAAATGTGACATTTTCTGTCCCTGGGGACAAGTCATTCCTGTCTGTTTCTATGTTGACACGAAGAGTGGCATCAGCCCAACTGCTTTTTGGGCCCCATTTTAGGAGGGTCCCCATCAGTCCTGGTACAAGAGCCCCAGCAGTGGTGACCTGGCCGTTTTCCAGCGAGCCAGTCCAGATTTATCTTTGCCTTCTTCACCCTTCAGAAGACTTCTCATTACTGGGCAGACTGGTTTGGTGGTGAATCATAGAATCATAGAATGGTTTGGGTTGGAAGGGACCTTAAAGCTCATCCAGTTCCAACCCCCCTGCCAGCAGCAGGGACACCTTCCACTAGACCAGGTTGCTCAAAGCCTCGAGATCGAGGACCAACTCGTTTGATTTGTTGACCACTAACCCAATTCATTTCCCTTTTGAGTCAAAGATCTGCACTTCCCTTTCTAACACCAGATGTACCCTCCCTGATGTGCTTTATCTCCTTCTGAAAGTGCCTGCACAGCTGTTCGATGTTCTCAAACGTGCTGAGCTTGCACATAACATCAGGACAAACAAGCTTCTGCTGACCACATCCAAAATGGTTGAACGCCTGGGCTGTCCCATCAACAGGAGAGACCGCAAAGAAAAACAGACCCCTAAGAAGAGGAACTCCAAGGAAGAGTCTTTTTTGGAGATAGATTATTGTTTGGAAGCCAGCTAGGCTGTGCCCAAGGCTGCTCAGCTGAGGATCTGCCCCAGAAACCTAATCAGATGCCTCATCAATTGTGTCCAAAAAATTCAACTCAATGGATCTTGCTGTGCAACTGGATGGATGAACTAGGATTGTGAAATTTGAGAGTGAAGTTATGATGTACACATTGGTCCTAGGAGTGACCAGAACTGTTCTCGCTCCAGGTGGGATCTCATGGAGGTCTTGGATGGCAACATTCACGCTCCAGTAGAGGCATCTCTTCAATGTTCATCCTACATTTGGCTTTACCTCCAGGGTCTTCACTGGCAGCTCTTAGTGAATTGGGGAATCATCTCGTATCTCCACTATCCTCAGCCAACATCCTGCTCAGCCATTTCCAGCTGATGAAACCCAATTTACCCCAACTTCTGATTGCCTTCTAAGGAGAAGAAGGTGGAGGCTTTGGGAGCCCATCAATGGAAGATGGGGGGAGCTGGCATGGGGGGCAATTCCAAGCATGTTTGATTCACCTTTAAGTGAGAATTTCAAATGCTGCACTGCAGAGACAGAGAAGGGTAGAGAAAA